AATAAATACACACACACAATAACAACAACAACAACAACAACAATAATAATAATAAATTTAAAATTATTGTTATTAACATATTATATTATTTAATTTTTATTATTATTTTGTTTGTATTAATTAACATGTTATATATATTATTAGAGATTTTTTAATTATATTATAAAATATTGTAATTATATACACATTATTTCCAGTTCTCTTTTTTAGTCATTTTACATGCTTATCAACTTAGTTTTTGTCAAACATAATTTGCTTATCAACTACCAACTAACTTAGCAATAATTGATTAGCTTATCAATTCATTTGCCAAACATAACCTTAGGGGTCTTAGGGTATATTTTTGCTCCAAAAACTATATTATAACGTATGTTAAAATAGAGATCAGAAAAAAGAGATGATGGAAATCTTAAAACTCTACATTTTAGCGTTTAAAAGAGAAAAAATAATTTAATAATATAATCAATGTTGAAATCTATTAAATATAATAATTTTTGAAGTTAAATGTAATTTTTTTTAAATATCTACCGAAGATACTTCAAATGCTTTCATCAAAATTTGTTATGTAGGGATATTTTCTCTACATTTATCATTAAAAAAAAATTAAGGGGCCGTTTACCAAACACTTATCCGGTAAGTGTTTACCGGTAAAATTTAACACTATTATTTACTTACCGGGTAAGATTCTAGTCCACCAAAACGACATCGTATGCAACAATTTATCCAATAAGCGTTTACCATGGTAAGAGTCGTCGCCCTCACTTACCGGATTAAGACTCAAAGTCCTTGTCTCGATCTTACCGGGTAAGATTCGTGGTACTTACCATATTCATCCGGTGAGGTAACATGTTTTGATAAACACTTATCTGAATAAGTGTTTGGTAAACAATCCTTAAAAAACTTGAAATCATACATCATCTGATTTAAAATTAAAAAAATCCCCAAAATAACATAAACTATAATATAAGATATCCTTTGAGTACACTCTTCGTTCATAAACATTAAAACTCCATTCTCAAACCTTTCCTTTGAAGTTACTCAACGTTTTGGTCATTGTCAATGGGAATATTAATTTGTATACTTCTTGGAATTTGTCAATATATATATTATATTATAGTGATAAATGGTATTTAATTATTATTTTAAAGTCAAACGGAGTTTTATATCTTTATACGATAAAAACGCAAGTCCCGTGAGCATTGAAATTATTGTTTCTATACTTTTGGTCTTTGAAATGAATCAATTACGTTCGATTGTTCAACATTTTGTTCTCATATCGCATAGCTCGTTTCATTTTAATCCCTTTATGTTACGCAACAAATTTTCATTTTCAGATAAATGATCACATTTTTCATTTCAGTTACAAATGATCAAATTACTTTTTTAATTGGTGTGTTTTTGTTTGAGTATATGACAGTTTCACACATTGGTTTAAGCTACGTAACTGCAACACCCAATTTCTTTTTGTTAATTGAGATAAGTGGACACGACTCTTGGACTTGATATACAGATATCTAAACCCGAAAATTAAAGGTATATTAAAGAATCATAATACACTGCAACATGACTTGGTTTATAGGATGCTTGCATAGGAAATATTGTCATATAAAAACTAATATGATGATCTGCTTACCCTTCCTAACAACTTAGGGGCTACTATTTATACCACCTCGTCATTCACATACCATATATTTTTTATTCTTTATCTCACTCACGTTTTCCATATAGGAGAGGATATGAATAGAATTCACCTTATATTTATTGAGTATAACATTTTAAGTTATCAATTATTTGCTTAATGAATTATTGTAACACACACACACACATATATATATATATATATATATATATATACTAGAAGGGTACTCGTGCAATGCAACGAGATACATCTTAACTTTAATATTTTATTTTATTTTTATCCCAGTCGATGCTATAATATGGTTTTATGTGATTTTGAAAAAGCGATGATATTTTTATTTTTGAATAAAGTATAAATTTGAAGATATCATAAAAA